TTGCTGTCAAGATTAGGAGAACCAAGTGCTCAATTTGTCACCTTGCCCTAATTACAAAGCTGCAAATAAGACCTCATTCTTTGTGTCTTCATATTGGCTGCCATCTAATAGGAGCTGCTGGCAATGTTGATGCCCAGAGGCATCCCATTTGTGTGCCTGCAGCAGTATATTCATTTTTAAAGGGAAAACCATCCATTTAGTTCTGCCAGAGCTATAGAAACAGTAGATAGTGAGACCTAACTTTGTACCAGGCATCTATTGTCAGGATTGACTTAAAAAACCCAACCAAAACATTTAAGTGTCTTGGAGAGCAGGTTATTCTGTGCCATTTCACCATGTCAATATCACTCTTGTCTCTTGTTACAAGATAGATTGTATGTTCAAAGCATTGTGCAATCATTGGGAGCCAGCCCAGGCCTTGGATATCATAGAATGGTTTGGGTTGGATGGGACCTTAAAGATCACCTAGATCCAACCTCCTGGCATTGGCAGGGACACCTCCCAATTTGTCACCTTGCCCTAATTACAAAGCTGCAAATAAGACCTCATTCTTTGTGTCTTCATATTGGCTGCCATCTAATAGGAGCTGCTGGCAATGTTGATGCCCAGAGGCATCCCATTTGTGTGCCTGCAGCAGTATATTCATTTTTAAAGGGAAAACCATCCATTTAGTTCTGCCAGAGCTATAGAAACAGTAGATAGTGAGACCTAACTTTGTACCAGGCATCTATTGTCAGGATTGACTTAAAAAACCCAACCAAAACATTTAAGTGTCTTGGAGAGCAGGTTATTCTGTGCCATTTCACCATGTCAATATCACTCTTGTCTCTTGTTACAAGATAGATTGTATGTTCAAAGCATTGTGCAATCATTGGGAGCCAGCCCAGGCCTTGGATATCATAGAATGGTTTGGGTTGGATGGGACCTTAAAGATCACCTAGATCCAACCTCCTGGCATTGGCAGGGACACCTCCCACTAGACCAGGTTGCTCCAAGCTTCATCCACCCTGCCCTTGATCACTTCCAGGGAGGGGGCAGCCACAACTTCCCCAGGCAACCTGTGCCAGTGTCTCACTACCTTTACACTAAAAAAACTTATTCCTAATGTCTAAATATGTGCCTTTTTTGGCCGTGTTTTACCATCCCACAGGTTTATGAAGCATGAAGGGAGAGTAAAACCACAGCAACGCAATAATGGAAAAAGGCTGGGTTCATTAGGAGCTCCCCGTAGCTCATCCCTCAGAAACCTAGTGCCCTCCCAACCTCTGTCTGCAGCTCTCCCATAAAGTAGTACAAGGCCAGTGTGGTGCCCTGCATCTTCATGCCCTTTGGCCGCCATGGTCAGTCTGCCTGTTTGCCCCTGGCATGGCAGGGCCAGGGAGGTGGGATTTTATATTCAACCACGTAGGGATTTGGGTGGTTGGGCCTGCACCTTGGTGGGGTAAGTGTTGGTCATGCTCATCTGCTGCTCCTGAAGCTTTTCAGCAGGTTTTTGGCTAGTGAAGCACCCCCATACAGCCACCTGCAGGGGCTAAGGGCAGCTCTGGGGGCAGTAGTGGAGGGACTAAGGGCAGCCCCAGGGCTGACCCTGGCTGCAGTGGGGCAGGGCTGTGTTTGCTGAGAGTGGGGTTCTCTTCTGCCTGTCCAGCCTGAGCTTGCTTTGCTGATGAGATGAGTCTCTGTCGGGAGTATTTGCCCTAGGGCTGGGAGGGGGCTGATTGCTGCTCCTGGGGGTGTTGTGGGTGGGTGGTGGTGTAAACTAGGATTTGGTGCCTGATAAAGAGGTGTCTCTTTAGCTGAATGCTGCAGACCAAGAGTCTTACAGAGATTTGAGGTGAAAGGCCTCAAAACAGTCCAGATCCCTAAAGGGAGGGCTTTGACCCCAGTTTCAATGTGGCAGGGGCTTGCCTGGCTTGCAGCCTGGGCTGTGTTCACTGGGGGCCACTCTGCTGTTTGCTGGTTTTGTGGTGCCTGGCTGGGACACTTGTGAGCAATGCAGGTACCCTGCGTGGAGCATCCTTGTCTGAGCAGGGAACTGGGAGGATGTCCTGGAGGGTGACTACCATGGTGAAGTTGTGATTCAGTATTTGTGGCTGTGAGAAAGTGGAAAAGCCTGTACATAGAGCAGTGGTGCCTAAATGGCTTTCTTTAAAACTTTCTAAGTGCTTTCTCTTATTTGTTTACTGGGGTTTCTTTGATAAAACAGGCAGCCTAGAAAGAGCATGCTATTCTCAAGCAGGAAATAACTTGACCAGAATTTTACCCTGGGATTTGAACCCATTCAAGTGTGTTTGAAAATGTCCTGTAAAGACAGAAGTCCCCATAGTGCTATGGAAAGAGAGAAGCTGAGAGGAGGCTCTCACCAGAGCTGCTTTCCTGCCCTGGGTTACTGCAGATGCAAATACTCTTAAAGGCAGATCTGGCATGAACCAGGCTGCTCCCTCCTTTGTCTGCAGAGGCAACAGTACTTGGGCTTGTCAAGACATTCCCAGATGGGCCAGCACGGCCCAGGTCCTCTTGTTTCTAATGCACTGTGTGTTTCTTGCACTACAGCCATGGTCACTTCAGGCAGGAGATGCAGTTGGCCTGGGTGGAAGTCACATTGATATGGGTCACTCTGGGAATGGGGCAGTTGTGGGAGGTGCAGAGAAATCTTGGGTTCTGCCCTGGCCTAAAGCCCATGGCATCAGATGAGTGTGGCAGTGTGAAAAGCTGTGTCTAAACCTCCCAAGTCCTGCTGTACAGAACAAAACTAAAAACATGTTTGCTCTTGCTGTGTGGCAGCAAAGAAAGGAATAATTTATTTTGGCTGCCTCTTGGGAACTAGTCTTTAAATTAGTATTTCCTCCTAGTGTTTATCCCAAATGCCTCTTAGCACTTTGGTTGTTTCAATTTCCCCTGTCTTCAGAAAACCCATCTGAAAATATTTGAAAAAAAAACCTGCAAAAGCTCTGACTTGCTTCTTTCAGTTTAAGCCTTTTATGCCATTTAATCCAGCAACTGTTTATGAATTAGGTTATTGGTGTTTTGGTTTTTAATCCACACAATAGGAGCAGGGTTTTTCCCAGCTCTCTTAATTCAGCATGATCTGATTGAGCATCAGTTTGGCCCCCTGCGCAGTCTAGTACGCTTCAAGTCCCCTGGGCCAGCACAGACCCTCTCTCTGGTGGGCTGGTCAGGGTAGATTCAGGCACAGTGGGGTTTGGGGAAACAGTCTGGAAGCCAGAGCTTATCTTATGCAGAAAGGAGGCAATACAGTGTAAGGTGGTGAGATGCTGAAGCCTTGATGAAAGCTAGAGGGTGAGGAGTTTCTTGGGAAAGCAAGAGGAGAGTGTTCCTGTGTGTGCCAGACCCAGGTGCCCTTACCCTGATGGAAAAGTGTGTGTGTATAGATATTTTGTTTTTCTTTGGGCTGCCTGCTGGGGTGAGGAGAATGTCCTCTTCTTCAAATCCTTCCCAATGACACATACAAAAATGTGGCAACATTCTAATTCAGAGAGAATTTTATTGTTGATATTATTTGTAATGTGATAATTTGCTGGAGTGTAGAAAATGCTGCTGTTGGAAGTAACTTCAGTTGAAGTTCCTAATGCTGTTGTGTGCTTGTAATAACACATTAGCTCTGATCTGTGTTAGCTTATTCTGAAGCTTAATGGCAGGCTTCTTTGAATGTATCTGAGAAACCATCAAATCCTCTTTCAGCTACAAGTCAAGCGAGCTCCTTGAAGAGCAGTTTGATGGGATTGCTACTAATCCCAGCTTTAATAAGGTACTGAAGTTACCATTAAGGTAACTTTGAGAGCTGGGACAGATCCTGGGGGTTTTTATCCCGCGAGCCCATTCAGCACAGGAGATCCTACCACTACCTGAACCTCTGCCCAGTTGATGTGCAAACCATTACTTATGGCACACTTACAGTGTGGGAAAAATAGAAAGTTGCTGGATCTCAACTTCTAAGTGCACTTTGGAGCTATTCAGAGGGGAGATGGGACAGGATCCTGGTGACTGGCAGGTGGAAACTGTAAGATGCTGCTAGTGTGCCCCATGCTGTCAGCCTCTGGGCTGAACAAGGACTTGTACTATCACCTCCAATGCCGGGTGAGTGATATGGGAAGGGCCAATTCACCTGCCCAGGAACCTTGAGGCTGCCTAGTCAGGCACAGTGTTTGCAGGGGAGCTGCTGGCATTTCTGAGCATCACAACTGTGCAGCCAACTCATCTGTGATCCTCTTGGGACCCCCAAAGCCACATGGTCAATGGGCTGCTTTTGTTGTTTGGTTTCACTGGCATTCATAATGCTTTTCAGATAAATCAAGAGAGAAGATCCCTGCCCTAACCAAGCATACTGCCCTACATTAGAGATAATGATAGGGGATAAACATAAAAAGAAAAAGTAATAAAATAAATGAAAGTCAGTAATCTGAATATATTCAAAGATCTGGGCTAAATATTGGAGACAACAAACCATGGGTGGAATTCAAGGACCCTAGAAAGGGAGTTAAAATGGAAAAAATGGAGCTATCTGTTCCACTTGAAAACAAGAGCAGAGATGGCTTTTGTGAATAGTCTTCTCCTTCTTCTACTCAAATTTTAAAATGCTGGCTAAAATGTATACCATTAGTTTAAATGAACTTAGGTGGTTTAAAAAGGGAAATTTAGAATGTGTATTTAAATGTAACAAATTTTTCTTTTATCACTTTTATATTTAAAAAACAGTTAAGGCATCTTGAGAGTTACTTTTTCATAGTGTGGCAGGAGTGGTATTTGACTTTGGGCCCAGGTTTCCACAGGGACAGCAAGAGCAGAGGTCAAAGTGAACTCTTGGTCCCATGGAAGTCACTCATGTATAACCTCACTGATCTCACAGCAGAGAAGGTCCACCCTTGGCAATTGTTGCCCCCACAAAAGGCAATTTTCTGGTAAATACAGTATAGCTATAGTGCCAGTGCCCCAGGACAGGGCTTAAGCCACCTCAACCTTTCCCGTGCAGCAACCCTGATTTAATGGACACTCAGGTCTGGATACAGGAGGAAGCCCATGAAAGTGGAATCATTAATGTTGTCAGCGTAGACACCATTGTTTTCCCCCTCCCCGTACACCTGAAGCCAGACCTCGTCCCCACTGCTAAGGTGCAGCAAGACAGAGCCGCTGGCTTGGTCAACATTGTTCTGTTGGAACTGGTCGTAGGTGAAGATCACTGCCTTGTCCTTCTTGTAGAGGCTGACCTTGACGTCTGTCAGGTAGACTGTCAGGTGGTAGGAGAAGAAGTAGGTGCCCGGGATGCTGCAGAGGAACTTGCCAGTGCTGGCATCGTAGTGGTTCTGCTCATTGTAGTAGATCTTGGTGAAGCGGATGGGGACGTTGGGGTGGGGGGCTCGTTCCTTCAGGCCCACGCTGAAGGCAGAGCGGTAGATGAAGGCACCTTCGCCCTTCTGTCCCATCATCCCTGGGGTTCCAGGAAATCCTCTTGGCCCTGGGATTCCTACAGCACCTTGGTCACCTTTAGGACCTTGCATACCTGGAGGGCAGAGTGGGGACAGGGGATTGTGTTTGCACTGTGCTGGCAGCTGCTACCTACCAGCCTGAAGCTTGGAGGGGGCTGTGGCATGAGGATCTGCTTGGCAGCACAGAGCTGAGGAAAGGCTGCAGGGCCTCAACACCCCCCCATGAAACTGCTAACCCCCAAAACTGTGTGCAGAGCTGCCAAGAGCAGCGTGTCTGAAGAAACATCATTAATTGGAAAAATAACCACCAGACCTCTTTGACTTAGGCTGTGGGATCTCCATTCCTGGTGATATTCAGAAATCATCTGGACAAATGTCAGGCATGGAGCTGTCAGATGTGAGACCTATAGGTGTGGGCCCTTAAGGCTGGGGCTGCTCACAGGCTCCAGCACCAATATACTCCCTGCTCCTCACCAACCTTGTTCTCCTTTCTCTCCCTTTGGTCCGTCATTTCCATCTTTCCCATCCCTGCCAGGGAGCCCGTTGTGGCCGGGGTAGCCAGGTGCTCCTCCCATCCAGTTGGCACACGGCATCTTAGGCTCAGGCTGGGCCTCCTGGGTGGCCACTTCTGTGCAACAGGAGGCCACCAGCAGCAGCAAGCAAAGGAGGAAGCCTTCTGGGCTCCTCATCTTCAATTCCTGATGTGAACAATCACTTTGTTAACTGTAAACATTAACAGGAAAAAACCCCAACCAAACCAAAAAACCCACCCTTGAATAACAAGAGGCAGGGAAGACTAAAGTTGCAATCAACATATCCAAAGGAAAGCAATTCTGCTTGCCCAGGGGCCCCTCTGCATCCAGCATGGTGCTGGGATTAGCTCCATGAGCCAAATGATGATGAGGCTCCTGGGTGCAGCCTGGTAGCACATCCAGTGTGGAGAAGAGCAAATGCCAGCTACTCCCCCAGTGCTCACGGGTTTGCACAGGCACAGATGTAGCTTGGGACCAAGCAGGGCAGATGCTAGGCTATCTGTGACCAGTTTCTTTGCAAAGCTCTGCTCAATTAGCCATGCTTTAACTTCTGCCTGGCTGAGTGAGCAGCTGATGAGAAGCACAGGTCTGGCAGAGCCTGTCTCAAAATCTCAGAAGCTTTTAAACCACCTGCTCAGCTCACAGTTGCACTTAAAGCCCTCTGACCTTGGTCTACCTAAAGTGAACAGAAGCTATAGCCAGGCTTCCATCTCCTCTGAGCAACCAGAGGAAATGATTATACTTTTTTTCCACCTAAATTATGTTTGTGGATTACAGGAAGACAAGTTACACAGCATTTAGGCACTGTACTGTCATAGTCTTTAATTTAGTTGCTTTGCTAGTCAGAGCAATTGATGCAGCTCCCCAGAACCAGGTCAATGGTGACACCCTACAGCCAACCTGGGGCTTTGTTCTGATGCTCCCAGAGAGGTCCCAGTGGGACCTTGGTGGGTTTGGGTCAGACTTTTAGGAAACAGATATTTTAAAATTACTATTGTTGTGTGACATTGCTCCCCAAGCAGAGATTATATGCTGCAACAATAAAGGTATCCTGTTACAAGGGTAGTAAGAGGCATAATAGGGAATAAAAAGTAAGAACATGGCCATTAGAGTCCCTTGGCTCTGTAATTTCCATTAAAAACAGTATTTTGGAGCAACTTCTTTGCAGAGTTGACTTCCTAGGAAATCTATTTAAATGTCATATTTTAAATAATGCCTTATTAACTCTTGTGTAACTGATTCAAAGGAAGCTAAATAACAACAAGGTTACCATGATTGCAGTTTTTGCAGGATACTTTGGGGCTTTGAAGAAAACTTCAAAGCTATATTTAATGGCTTTGGTGGGCAATACCTAAGGCATAAAATTGGGGAACTACTGAAGCCATGCCCACCCTGCTGGACTCTGGCACTCCAGCAGCCACCCAGTTCCTGAGATGGGTCTGAGCCCTGGCTTGGAGGCAGTTTTCAGGCAGAGGGTGCCATGGCATGTGGTGACCACAGCCTGAACCTGAGCCAGCGTTCCTGCATCTCTGTGCTTGGGGAAGTGAAAAGCACCTTTGCAAAAAGGGAGGTAGCCATGGTCCATGGCCAAGTCAAATAGATGTCTATGAATTCTCAAAGTGGCTTGTTTTGGCAAGCAAGGGTGTACATGTTTGGCCAGGCTGCGAGGCAACCACTTTGCCATGCCCCAGGGGACAGCACAAGGGAGAGGGGGCTCTCTCCCTCCACCTGGGTCCCCTCTGGCTGAGCTCATACATGCACCCACCTTCCCCAAAATCAGCATGGGCTGCCTGGAGGTATCTTAACTGCATGAAAGCACACTAGTGTTTAATACAAATCTGCCTCCAAACTGCATTTCTTGAGCAGCATTTTGGTGATTTTATTCAGGCTAGTTCTGATTTCTCTTATGCTGCTTAGAGCTGAAGTGCCATTAAAACTTTAGTGACGTGCTAAATAGCCCCAGTTTTCTGCTGGTGCAGTCTAAAACTCCTTCAAGGTAAAAAGTGGTGCCAATTTGAGGCAGCCCAAAGCAGGAGCTTTCCTGGCAGCTGTCTCTCCAGCTCAGAGTGATGCCTGCTCACAGCATCCCTGGGTGGCTCTTCACTGCCTGTGCGTTCCACAATCTAGTTTTCTTCTTTCGCATAAGGAAAGTGTTGTGATAATCAAATAGAAAACAACTTCTGTTGCTACAGTTTGACTCAACCACAAGTGGTTTGCTTGTTTGAGGAATGAAACAGTTCTCTGGCACTGGTTTGTCTTACAGAGGGGGTTTTAAGCTCTGTCTATTAGCTCTGGAGTTTAAACTCTGGTTTAGGTATGATATACCTTTACTTTATCTTTCCCATGTCTTTTTGTCTTTCCATCTGATGCTTAGCAGTGTAACATGAAAGAATGTGCTATACTTGAATGTCAGTTGTACCTTTTGGATGAGTAATAGATGAACTAAGTGCTCTTGGTGGCTTTCAGTTATTCCCTTTGCAGCTACTATATTAAAAGATCATATGCATTTAATGAACCCTATTCATTTATCAGCAGAAATCAGCATTATCCATAGGAACAATGATATTTGTAAGTGCTACACTGTGAGTGATTCAGACAACAATTCAGAATTCAAATTTTACATAGCACTACCTAAATATTATATATATTTTAAGTAGTTAAAAAAAATAAAAACTCTCACCAGAAAACACATTTTAAAAATCCATGTGTTTTCCACTGAGAGTGTTTTCTTCAAGGGGTATTAACCAGGGATATAACTTATATTAAACATTTTTCTTTTTGTAATGCTTGTAGCATAGTTTTTTGCTAACATTCCAGTTGAGACTTGCTCGAGGGGACTCGCACCTTGAATCTGAGTGGTCCAGGTTTCTGGCAAGGAGCTGATACAACTCAGGGAGATTTGGGGCAAACCCAATCTTCCCAGGAGTGTTTGAGGACAGAGGTGAATTGAAAGGTGTCAGTGCAGTGCTAGCTGTTATAGTCATGTGGTTTTTCACTGTCATTCCTGACTACTTTTGATTTAAGAGTTTTTGATCTATAAATAATGTTTCCAAATACAGGAGTATGAATCAAGGGAGATCAGCTATTCTTAGTTTAAAATACTGGCTGGCGATTCTCAGAATATTTCTAAGAAAGGAAACTTCTTGCAAACAGAAAAATCTGTCTCTCTGATTCAGCCCAAAAGGAGAGAAAATCCTGAACTTAGTAAGAGGGGAAAAAAAAAAAATCATGCTTACCAGCTGTTTTGAGTCCTAGTTGGCTTGCTGCAGTCTCTTTGGAAATGAAGACCGGCTACCACATCGCTGTCCCTAAGGGCGTGAGGAGCTGTAGGCTCAGACGCTGCATTTTCCATTTGCTAGTGCGCATGCTGACCTAAAAGTTGGGTCTTGTCTTGGCTATCAGTTAAGTTTTGGACCACTTGTATAATCCGGTCACACTGGGATAGCTTGCAAAGATAGCCTTAACAGGGAAAAAGATGGGTTTGGGAATTTGATTGGAACTCAAGGAGCACTGGTTTGCCAGAGACGCCCGAGTGTAAGCTCCGCTTATTCAGGGCTGGGCTTGTACAGCACAAGCTGCTGCTCCACGTAAGCTGGGCAATGTTGTTAGCAGCTGATGAAGGAAGTGTGTCTGCAGCCTCACATTAATGCACTTGAATATGTTTTTCTTTTTTCAATGTGTTAGAAGATGAATTATTGTGGGAGAAATTTTGGCTTCTCCTTTTAACGACAAGAGCCCAGAGGCTGCTGCCACACCAAAGAAGGACAAAGCTGCCCGAGGGGAAGGGCAGTGCTGAGGAAAGAGTTTTGCCCTAAGCCTGCCAACTATGCACCAGCACTGTTATAAATCATCACAGTAATTTCAGCTCTACAGATGCGTTTCAACCTATCACGTTTTGTCTTTAAGACAGAATATTTTTTTCCCTGCGTCTCTTCCCTTCCAAAGCAGAGTTTACACCTTGGAGACGGGAGGCTTTCCTCCCCGGATGCCCCAGGGCAGTTAAAAGTTAGCCAGCAGGAACCTTGGCAAACCTGGGCTTGCAAAATCAGACCAGGAAAAACAGTGTGATGGGTCTTGTTGCAACTGGGTGTGTGGAGTCATTGCTGGGCAGCTGGTGTCTTGGGAAACTTGTGTCAGCAGGACCATATCCCAAGTTACTGAGTTGTTGCAAAGACCTGGCAATCTGGAAGGACTAAAAGGATGTGTAAATGAACACATAAATAAGTTCCTATATGTACATGTGGGAGTTAGCAAGGGTGAATTTTGAAGTCCTGAGAAGAGTGCAGAAGGGAGGAGCTGCCGGAGGGCTTATTTGTCTTATTTTGGTCAAGCCTTTGGTTCAGCATCTGAAGAATTTTAATTTTTTTAATTAATATTTTCCATGCAATGTTGAGACTTAAAGCAATCCCTCTTGCAACCCCAGTAAAATATGACAGAGAACTAGTTAGATTTGTTGTTTTCTTATAAATATTATTTGTATCAAAAGTGAGATGCGTGTTTCTGTGATGCCAGTGTTTGTGTTGAAGCTTTGTCTCCTGAGCAGTGATGTAGGAGCAGGATCTTGGAAGTGAAACATAAGATTTTTTTGCAGTGGTGATGAGAGGTTTTCGGCTGCCTTTGCCTGGGGTGTGTGCAAGACAAGGCTAGTTTCCCTGCCAACTCTCAGCTTGAACCCCAAAATGCCAGATTGGTGTGTGTGTTAGGCTGCCAAGATATGAAGCTAGGACCTGACATGTTTAATAGGTAGTGCTACTATTAGCTCATGGCCTTTCCATTCAGTCGTTAGGAGAATACCACAGTGATAAATCAGTGCTTCATTAAACACCCTCCCAAACATTATCCCTGCCTCCTAGAAGAGGGGTTGAAGTTCATCTCTGGGTGTATAACCAGCTGATACAACCCCTGGTGCACTTGCTTGTGGTTGTTACTTGGTTTGCAGGTTGGTGCTGGCTCCTTTTCCCACTGCAGAGGGAGATATTGTATAATCCAGTGAGCTACTTGTAGATGTGTGCTAGGAAAGCATTTAAAATGCACTTTGGTCTTCTTGGTGATGAGCAAAACCTGCCACCAAATGCAGACTGGACTGGCTGTGCCCGGAGCTGCAATGCTTGGAGGCAGCAGCTCTGGTGGGTCTTTCTGGCACAGAGAAAGCTGCT